AAAAAAAAAAAAAGACAAATCTAGGGGTGTTGGAAGAATCCTCAAGAGTAAGGATTTATTCCTATTATTAGTATTTGTTAATTTTTGCAGTGCTGGGGCTCAAACCCAGAACCTTGTGCATGCTGGGCAAGTGCCCTAATGCTGAGCTCCACGCTGGCCCTGAGGTTATCACTATACCTCTGCTTCCCTGGACTTGCCAAGTTCACACTGATCCTCTTACTGCATGGGTAGGCTCCCTGCTCAGCACTCGCGAATTGAGTCTGCCCTTACCCATCGGTGTGTGGGATTACCCAGTGGCCAAGCTGTGCAGGGGCCCACCATGGCAGGTACATCCCCAGGTGCCAGGCATTCCAGGTGGGCTCAACAGGTAGTTTTTTTTTTTTTTTCTTATTTCGAGAATATCACGAGCTAGGCATGGTGGTACATGCCTGTAATCTCAGCACTGGAGGCTGAGGCAAAAAGGATCAACAGAGTTCAAGGTTAGTCTCAACTATGTGGAGAGATCCTGTCTCAAAAAACAAAATTAAAAAATCCAACCCAAACAAAACATGCAGCGCTTTTGAAATGAATGTCATGGGAGCAGGAAAGTGGCCAGACTTCTCCTTCTGTGCAAGACAGCTGAGCACAGGAAGAAGCTGGGCGGGGTAGGAGTGGCCCCTTCCCCTTTCTCTCCTGCTGCAAGACATCAGGGCCCAGCCGCTGCAGGACCTCGCTGGGTGCTGGTGCAGGGATGAGTCAACCTGACTTTCAGTTCTCTATGGTCCCGCGCTGGGGTCAGCCCCGCAGCCACACTCAGGATGAGTAAGCATCTCACCCCGTCCTCCTTGACCTGCTGTGTTCACTCCGCCTAGAAAGGGTTCCCTCTGCTTTGCCAGGGTCTAATTCCTCATCACTGGGCCCCCAGCTCAGCCAAGACTGACAGCCTCCCTGAAGGTGTTCAACCTGCTGTCCAGGACTTAGCTTTTAGGTGTCTGAAAATCACACAGGAAATGACCACTTGTGCTGGTTGCCCATTTCTTGATGTACACTAAGTGCCATGAAGAGAGGGCCCATGTCTGGTCCGTGCTGACTATCTGTTGCCCAGAATCATCCCAGAGTATGAAAGCGGCTCAGTGTTAGTCAAGTTGAGTGTCTGCTGGGATGAAAAGGCTTTATCCTCTAGAGCTATGCCATCTGATGTGGCACACACTAGTCTAGTATAAATCTAATTGATTTAAATAAAAGTAAAACAGGGCCAGTGAGATAGCTCAGCAGACTAAGCTCCTGCTTAGGCAAGCACAGGTCCTGGGGTTTGATCCTAGGCACCACATGCTGCGCCAGGCCCACCCCTGGGCACACTGAGCCAGCCACTGAGGCCATGCCACCAATACCCTGCATGGTGGCACACGCCTATAATCCCAGCAATCACTATGAGTCTGAGCTGTTTAGTGAGACCCTGTACCAAATACATAAAAAAAAAAGTAGGAGTTCAATCCCTGGCACCACATCCTGTGCCATCCCCAGCCCTGGGCGCACTGAGCCAGTGACTGAGTTTGGGAGTGGTGTTGTGGTACATGCCTATAATCCCAGTACTGGGCAGGCTGAAACAGGAGGATCACTGCAAGTCCAAGCTGCCTAGTGAGACCCTGCACAAAATACAAAAAAAAAAAAAAAAAAGTAAAACAGTTATTTGGTGGTCTCCTTCTAAAAGTAGCTTGGGCTGAGTAAAAGAGGAAAAACAGCCTGGAAGATACAAAGTAGGCTACTGTGAGGAAAGCCACAATAGTAAACTGTGTGGCATGTGTCCTTTTATGCCATCTGTATCTCAAGGGGACCTGTGGAACTTTTACATATGGGTCCTAAGGGGCAGCACTGGGATCCCCGCTCCTCTCTCCCAGCCAATCAAAACCACACCTTATCTCTTATCTCAAAACTCCAGCTCTTTAGTCACATGAACCACATATCAAGGACTCGGTGGCTATCATATTGGACATTGAAGATAGAGCATTTCCCTCAACCCAAGTTGTGTTTAACACATTGAATTTTTCTCTTTTTACCCTTTGCCTGACCTGACCCTTACTGAAAGCCCCAGCCAGGTAGAATTTGGTACTATGTTAATATAAACTGAAAGTAGTAGCACATGCTTATAATCTTAGAGCTCAGGAAGTTGAGGTACCAGGATCACTGTGAGTTAGAGGCCAGTCTGGGCTACATAGCAAGGCATTCTTTTCTTTTCTTTTTCTTCTTCTCTCTCTTCTCTTCTCTTCTCTTCTCTTCTCTTCTCTTCTCTTCTCTTCTCTTCTCTTCTCTTCTCTTCTCTTCTCTTTCTTTCTTTCTTCCTTCCTTCCTTCCTTCCTTTCTTTCATATATTTGGCTGTTACAGGGTCTCACTACGCAGCTCAGAGTCATAGTGATCTTCCTGTTTTCAGCCTCCCCAAGGCTGGGATTACAGGCGTGCACCACTACCCCTGGACTCTGTGGTCAGCCCAGCCTGCTCTGGGGGTGGGGCTGGCACAGCATATGGTGCTGGGGGTGGAACCACTGTCCCTGTGCTTGCTTAAGCTTGCATAAGCAGGTGTTTTAGTTCACTGAGCTATTTTTGCCGGCTCCGACCTTGTTTCAAAGTAAATAAATATATAATCGATCAATGTGGAATACATAGTGAGATTGTCTCAAAAAAAGGGGGTGGGGCTGGTGAGTCGGCTCAGTGGTCTAAAGCACCTACTTAGAACAAGCTTAGCAAAACACAGGAACCGCGGTTCAATCCCCCAGCACCACAGGCCAGCCAGCCCCGCCCCCTGGTGGGCTGAACTGGACACACACACACATAAATAAATTAAAAAAAAAAAAAAGAAAGAAAAAAAGAAATGGTTGGGAATGTAGCTTGGTGATAAGGCACTTGCTTAGCATGCTTGCTCACGCCTAGGCTTTTTTTTTTTTTTTTTCCTCCAGTAGCAGGGATGAAACTCAAGACCTTGTGATTGCCAGGCAAATGCTTATGTCACTGAGCTATCTCCCCAGCCTCTAGCCCTAGGTTTAATCACCAGCACTGCTAAAAAAATAAACAAAAGGGCTGGTGAGATGGCTCAGTGGTCTAAAGCACCTACTTAGAACAAGCTAAGCTAAGCAAAACACAGGGACCGCGGTTCAATCCCCCAGCACCACATGCCAGCCAGCCCCGCCCCCTGGTGGGCTGAGCTGGCCACACACACAAAATGAATGAATGAATGAATAAATAAATAAATAAATAATTCTTAAAAAAAAAAAAAAACAAAAACCTTAAAATCAGTTCAACAATTCCACTTGGCAGAATGTATCTTTAAGGAAATAACTGTTGATATAAGCAGATTTAGCTACAGGATGTTCAAAGTACAGCATTGTTTATACTAACAAAAAAGGGAGATTATTTGGACTGTGATATAGCCAACAAAAATAGAAGATGGAGGCCAGTAATTCAGGAGTATTGGGAAGGAATATTGAAAATTTGAGGCTAGTTGGGCAACTTGGTGATTTAGCAAGATCTTACCTCAGGGTAAAAAAAAAAAAAAAAAAAAAAAAAAGCCTAAGAATATAGCTCAGTACAGGGGTTCAATCCCCTGTACTAAATAAATAAATAGAAATGGGGGTGTATCTCAGTGGTATAGCACATGTTTCGAATGCACAAGGCCTTGGGATCCCTAGTGGCACCAAAAAAAAAAAAGACATAAGGTTATAAAAATAGTTTAAAAAATATTGCAAGTTAAAGCTAGTTACAACACATGAATAAACACTCTGGGATTGGAGTGGAAATCAGAGAGACTTTACGTGTAACTCCTGAAAATTTTCCTATGTAGTCCAGGCTGGCCTTGGCCTTTGGATCCTCCTGCATCAGCCTCCCAGTGCTGGGATTATAGGCATGCTCCAGTATGCTCTATGATTTCAGTTTTGTTAAAATAAAGTCGCTGGGAGTTGTAAAGACCAGACTAATGTATAGAAAAATGTTTGACTGAGTCAATGCTCAACGAAAGGCAACTGGGTTCACACTGAGAAAACAAAGGGTATTTGTCAAAATATTAGGAGTAGCTATTGGATTGATTTTTTTTTTTTTTTTTATTTTTATTTTTTTTAAATTTATTTGAGAGAGAGAGAGAGAGAGAGAGTGGTGTGTGTGTGTGGCCAGCTCAGCCCACCAGGGGGCGGGGCTGGCTGGCATGTGGTGCTGGGGGATTGAACCGCGGGCCCTGTGCTTTGCTTGGCTTAGCTTGTTCTAAGTAGGTGCCTTAGACCACTGAGCCATCTCTCCAGCCCTATTGGATTGATTTTGTCATCTTGGCTTTTCTCCCTTTACCTGTAAACATGATTATTCATTTTATTTTATTTTATTTTATTTTTTTTGCAGAACTGGGGATTGAACTCAGGCCCTTGCACTTGCCAGGGAAGCCCTTACTCCAATGAGCCATCTCCCCAGTCCCGATTATTCATTTTAAATAAGGGATGGGGACAATAAAAGATTTACTTTTACAAATTCTGCAAGGCTCAATTCCATGTAGTCTTCCACGAAGACTTGCTTGGGTCCTTTCCCGAGTCAAAGACCACCCACACCCCAGCCTTGGGCTCTAGGTTGAAACTTCTGGAGCCCGCCCTTCACAGTAGCTGGTCCCAGGAAATGTGAGGCCGACACATGCCACTGGCCAACACTGACATTAAGGACCTCAATGAGGTGGAAGCCAGTGACTCAGGGCAGCTTCCTGAGTGTCAGCAGGAACGAGGACCTGGGTGCAGAGGTGTGGAGCAAGGTTGTCCCCTGCTCTATTCCTTTCCTTGGGGCGAGGACAAAAGCGATTAAAGTAATCTGTGCTGATTCTGAGCGCCAGGGGCCTTGTCACCTTCCACCCGGCAACTCAGAGTGGGAGTGTGTGTTCCAGCCCTGCTTCCCCGTGCGCTGGCTCTAAGGCTGCTTTTTCTGTGAAGTGGGGATAATGACGAAACGAGCAGCTGGGAAGAAAGACCGAAACTCGCTCGATAAGTGAACAGTTCCTGTTTTGTGTATTTTTTGACCCAAGACAACAGACGCCGCCAGGGACAGCCCGTGCTGGCGCAGCAGAGCCGCGGCCGGCTGCCCGCCCCTCTCTGGGCACCCTCTTCGCGCAGGAGCCCCGACTGCCTAGTCCTCCTCGGAGTCGGAGTCTAGGTTGGCACAATCCTCGGCGTCCAGCGAGCGGAAGGGGCTGGGGGGGTGGGAGGAGCGCAAGACTGGGAAAGGCGAGCAGTTGGAGAAGAAGGCAAAGAACTCGGCGGCGAAGGTGACCGCGTCCTGGGGCTGCCGCACCAGCAGGAAGAGCAGGAAGTCGGAGATGAGAGCCTGGGCGTCGGGATGCTGCCGCAGGTAGCTGGCGTGTCCAAGCCGGAGCTGCTCCTTGGGGGGCACGGGCGGGTCCCAAGCCAGCCCTGGGGATGGGACTCGAGAGCCCCACCCTCGCTACCGGCACCCTCTCCCCCGTATGGCTTGCAGTCAGACACAGAAATGAGGAGGAAATGGGGACCCCGGCTAGCCGCAGCCCTCCTCACCTTCCGGTCCAGGAACTTGGAGTAGAGCTCCATGTCCTCCTCCCACACCAGGGGCTTCTTGCGGAACACGGGCGGAGACTCAATCTCATCTGCGTGGGAAAGGAGGAAGGCTGCGGACCCCTGCACCCCAACACCTGCCTCCAGATGGAGGCCCCAGACCCCGAGTCGGAAGGCACGGACTTGGTCAACCCTCAGGATTCTGCCCACTTGGTCTGAGCTGCCGGAAGGGCTCCTAACAGAGGTCTACCAGGTCTGCCTACCAGTCAGGGCTGGCGGACAACCCGTAGATCTCCTCCTAGGCCTTGGGTGTCCACAGCACACCCGTGCTGCTAAATCCACGGCCCGGGGCTCCATCGCCCCCTCACCTCCCTTAAGCTGCCCCAAGACTGGGCTGCACTCACCCTCCTCCCTCAGGATGGGCATCTTGGTGAGGAGGAAGCACCCCGGGGAGCCCACCTGTACTCTCTTCACCAGGTGCCTGGAGAACAACGCAGACGAAGGCAGTGAGAGCCTTCCTCTGCCTCCCGTTAGAGAAGGTGCCAAACTCCAGGCCCCAGCTGTGGAGCCAGGCCATTAAGGAGGGAACTTAGGTTAAATGAGGTACAAAGGTGGGATCATAATCAGGTGGGGTTGGCATCCTTATAAGAGATGGAAGAGATGCTCAGAGCACACACTATCCACTCGGACATAGAAGAAAGGCCTGTGTAGGAAGAGAGGCAGCTTCAAGGCAACTCTGTTGACCTTGACCTTAAACTTCCAACCCTCAACTCTGAGTAAGCAAACTGCTGTTACTTAAGCATCCAGGTTGGCAGCTAAAACACCACAGCGCCCCCTTAAGGGCTGTCCTGAACGCCTCTCCTTTCTGTTCTTTTGGGTTCCTGGGTCATATTCCAGATAAGGACTTAGGGCTTGGCAAGCAACAGGCCCCTGCTTTAAAAAAAAATAAACAAGTTAAAAAAAAAATTAAAATAAAAAAGTGCTGAGACCTTCAGATGTAAATCTCCAAAAAAAAAAAAAAATCACAGGGTCTCCTGTGTGTGAGACACTCAAATAAATACAAATATACTAAGTTATCCACTGAAAAAGGCCAACAACAGTCTTGTTACTTTGCCTCCTGGTGCAGTGTCTTGGTTGATATCTCATACTCTTCTGAAATTTCAAGAAACAAGTTCTCCCCCACTGGCATTTTCTCCAGGTTTGGTGCCAGTACAGGGCTGGTGACAGCTTGGCAGGGTGCCAGGGAATTGCCCCAGCACATTGGCCAACTCAAGCGTCCAGCCATTGGAAACTTGGTATTTTCAGTACTTCTCTAGCCTGGGTACTGCTTCTCCTGTACCCATGGCTTTGTGGGGTGGGCATGTATTTCCTTCCTTAGCCTGGCAGGGTTGTCTGTTGAGGAGGTGTGGAAGGCTCTCAAGGAGCCAGTGACTGAAGAAGGGTGAAGGAAGTGGGTAGAGTCGGAGACACCTAGATCTCACACATGTGCGGTATCCCCAGAACAGCCAGTCTCTCCTTTGTGCCATGCCCCTCCCCATTGGTGGAATCCTGTATTTGGACATCACGGTGTCCCCTTGGTCCCTGTTATGGCTTAAATGTAAATATCTTGATGCCCCAAAGATTCTTGTATTGGGGGCTTGATCCTGAGGGTGCTTACCTGACCTCATGGATGGATGACCCTACTGAGGAGTTCACTGGTAAATGGGCTGGTAGAAGGCGGGGTCCAGATACAAAAGTAGGTCAAGGGGACATGCTATTTAAGGTATATCTGGTCCTTCGTCCCTTCTTTTTTAAGGCTCTTTTCTGTTTCCTAGCTGCCATGAAGCCAGCTCTTCTCTCTGCCATACCCTAGTGCCATGATATCTGTCCTCTACCATGGCCTAAAAGCAGTGGAGCCCACAGACCATGCACGCAAAGCTTTGAAGCCATAAGCCAAGACAGGGCTGGGGAGATAGCTCAGTGGCACAAGTGCCTGCCAGGCAAGTGCAAGGTCCTGAGTTTGGTTCCCAGTACGAAAACCACAAGCATGAGCCAAAATAACACTTTCCTCCTTTACACTGATGTTCTTGGGTACTCTTTCTTTTTTGTTTCATTTTGTTTTTTGTTCTCAGGTATTCTGTCACAACACTGGAAAGCTGACACAGTCCTGGGTGTCACCACCCAACATACACAGTGGCTCACCCATCTGAGAGCAGGTAGAACTGACAGGACATGGGGATGCCCTCTTCCGAGTGAACGGTCTGCTCCACGATGAAGGCTTGGGCCTCTTGGTGGCCTACCTGGATTGTCTGGAAGCCCAGAGCTTGCTGCAGCCACCAAATGAAGGGAGGGTGCTGAGGTGGGAGTCACCAAGGTCTCCCCCATTTCAGCCTGGCCCTTTCCCCCTCTCTGTTGCCCTCCCCCTCTTCTCCACCTCTCTGCCTTCTCTTCTTCCTCCTCCTCCTCTTGCTCATATCTTCATTCATTATTCACGAGTGATAAGCAGCCCTTGGCTGACCAGACCCACAGGTACCCCAAGTTGAGTCACACCCTAAAGCTAAGCTGGGGACCCCTCTTAGCCAGCCAGATCCAGCTTGCCCTGGCCATTCCCTCCCTGTGGCATCTCGGTGACCAAGAGATTCTAGATTCTCTTAAAGGGATGAAGGTCAGTATAGAGAGGGCTAGTGGGGGGCACAGATTATTGGAGCTGGCTAGGAGAGGTAGTGAAGCTTCGAAGGGTGAGACTGGACTGAGGTTTGTGGTGGTATCAGCTCTGTGCCACTGATGTCACAACTAAATGGGGGGTGGGAAAGACCTACCACTGAACAGATGTTTCCAAGAAAATGGAGAAATGGCATGTGCTTGTTTGTGTCAAACACATTGCTGTTGGTTGTTTCCAGTGGACAAGACTAGAAGGTAATTTACAAAGTTGACCAAATAAAGACAAACACTAAGCTAGGGTATGGTAGTGCACATCTGTAATCCCAGCACTTGGGAGGCTGAGGCAGAGGTATTGGAGTTCAAGGCCAGACTGCGCTACACAGTGAGCTCAAGACCAACCTGAGCTACATAGCAAGACCCTATCTCAAACAAACAAATGAACAAACATAAAAGGGCCTGGGTATACCTAAGTGGCAGAGCAGTAGTATGTACAAAACCTGCGTGATGTCTCTTTCAAAGCAGCCCTTCATTTTTTTACAGAATAACTCATGCAAAAAGTGTTACTTCACTCAACAATCCCCATTCATTCCACCTGCCCCTCACTTGATCCCTCTGACTAACTTCTTGGTTTCTCCTGCCCTATGTAGCCCTTGGTTTCTCCTCATTCCCACCCCATCCTGACTCCCTTTCTACTCCACAGCTGTCTTCTCTCCCATCTTACACCCATCATTTCCCTTCTAGTTGGCACCCAGGACAAGTCCCCTGCCTGGGGAGATCTCCTACATAGGTAGAATAGCAGAGTTTGCCCTCAGTGTCCAGGGCCAGGAAGCGGGCATTGCTGGGCACCATCTGCCGCCAGGCCATCACCCGCAGCAGCACCATGTTGGCAGCCTCAGAGATGAAGCCCTCATTTGAGTTGCAAGGAAAGGAAGTCTTGCTGGTCTTCACTTCCTGTTCAGGAAAGATCTGGGTGAAGGGTCTGGAGCAGGAAGGGGGAATGGGCAAGCTGGATGGGGTGCAGATGGTCCCTTAGGGAGGCCTAGTCCAGGCTCCTGGCCTCAGCCTCAGCCAACCCCGTTCTGCTTGTAGTTCAGAGGAGGATGTGACAGCAGTTCCCACCTGGCCATTGTCCTTACCTCACCCTCCCTGACGCTTCTGATCATGGTCAGCTGGTCATCCCTCTTCAGCAGACTCGTCTTCCGCTCCATGGGGAGGATGGGGAACTAGGGCCAGAGCATTCAAGAGAGAGTTATGGACTCCTTGGAGGTTTAAAGTTTTTGTTTTGTTTTGTTTCTACAGTGCTGGGGATCGAACCCAAGGCCTTGAGCATGCCAGGCAAATGCTATCCCCAGTCCTGAGCTTTGAAGGCTATGATATAAAGGATGGCAACAAACCAAGAAAGCCTTCCATAAACCATAAAGCTTGGTCTTATGATAGTATAATTTGAAGCTAAAATTGAATATCTCTCAGGACACAGGATTGAAAGGTGGGCATGGACTTCGGGAAGATTCTTAGGCACAAGTAGTTTCCAGAGTGTAGGCAGATCAAGGTCATGTTCCAGAAGTTAGTGAAGAGGCTGGGGCTGGGGCAAGGGATGCAGAGTGAATGGTGATGGGCACTAGAGGAGCCACTAGACTCTGGGAAAGTTCAGCAACAGGGCCCCCAGGGAGACACCAGGCTGAGACTGGGGGAGGCCTGGGATCTATGGTAGAATATCTGTAGTAAGCAACTGCTGCTGACCTCAGTGTCCCAGATGAATGGGTCCTTGAGCTGTAATTGGTGGGATGGCAGGGTGACAGGAGACAGTAGATGTGCTCTTCCACTGGGGCCCCTCCCTCCATCCCACACAAGATTTTTTATTTCTCACCATGACTCAGGAACAAGGATTGGGGACCCCTAGGAGGTACCTTGATGAACTCATGACTGTGTTGTTCTAAGGGCTCCAGTTTCCACGACAGGTAGCCTGGGGTGTGAGAGGCAAAGGCTAGCTGGATCTGTGCCTGTGAATGACCTCCCTGCCATCCCCCTCTCCCCCATCCTGTCCCAGGCAAGTCAAAGGGTGGGATCCTGAGAACAGAGGCTCTGGGAGTGGAGGGAATGCAGAGTGACAGGCAGCAAGAAGCCCAAATTCTACCCCGGACGGAGTTTCCACAAATGGTTTTATCCAAGATGCTATGGCTCCCAGCGTGGACAAAGAGACAGTGGGACATGAGACCCTGCTGGTCCTTGTACTTCCCGCTCTGCACCTCGATGGTCAGTTCTCCCTGAGGTTCCCCTGTGCCGCAGACCATGACCAGTGTCTCGGAGAAAAACACCATTTGCAGCTCCTGCAGCTCTGGTTGGGTTGGGGACAGGTAAGCCTCTGCTCTGGGTTCAGTACCCCATGCACTTCTGGTAGCCGGCCTCCCCTCCCTGGCATCAGTGGGAGCCGTGGGGTGAAGACCCCTTTTTCCCAAGCCCCATGGTCATCCCAGGAAGAATAGCAACAATAGGTCTCTGCCTTCTCTTACTTTGGGATTGTGGAGCTGAGAGATGGGGCCATGTGGACTTTTTGTTCCCTCTTGGGACTTGTGACACCCTCCGCCACCCCCCCCCCACCTCCACCCTCAACCATGGCTCACTCAGGGAGTTGAGGAAGTTGAGAGCTTCAGCATTAGCCTCTGGCCATGGGGGGTGCTCCTGGCTTGAGCGCAGGTGGTCCTTAGCTATGCCTAGGAAGGAGAAGCTAAGGGGAGAAGGGGCAGGGCCAGGAGAAGTTTCTGGCCTTTCCCCTAGAGCAGAATCCACCAAGACCATCCCCAGGGATTAAAGGGAAGAAGAGCTCCTACTCCCTTTCCACCCTGAGAGCCTTCTTCCCACCTGTGGAGTGAACTGTGGAGGACATGCTGTCTGCCGCCAGCCCTCTGTGTCCACTTGTCTCCATGGCTACCGTAGTTACCGCCTTTTAAAGGGCAATCAACGCACTTCTCTATGCCTTGGACCTTGGTGCAAAAGTGTGACACAGCGGGTTCAGCCTAAGATTGAGTTGCTGTCCAGTAGGGGGAGCATTTCATTTTTTCTTAATGGCAACATTTTTTTGAAAGATAATGGCCACGTTTATTTTTTAGAAGTATTTCTAAAAAAAAAAAAAAAAAAAAGTATTTCTATTGACTATTAATTTTAATTTTATGAGTTAATAAACAATGTGTAAATATCAATAAAAATAAAATATTAAAATTTTAATATGTAATAAATGTTTAAAATTGTGTTTAGAATACACATCAATTTTCAATGTCAACAGTTTACTTGCTTACAAATGCTAAAAATAATAACAGAAATAAATTCTTATGTGAACATCAATGAAAACACAAACAAGGGCTGGTGAGATGGCTCAGTGGTCTAAAGCACCTACTTAGAACAAGCTTAGCAAAGCACATGGACCGCGGTTCAATCCCCCAGCACCACATGCCAGCCAGCCCCGCCCCCAGGTGGGCTGAGCTGGTCACACACGCACGCACACACACACACATACACACACACACATAAATAAATAAAATAAATAAATTTAAAAAAAAAAGAAAATACAAACAAAAGTCTACCATAGATCATTTTTACTTTAGCTGTCATACCCAAGGCAGTCTTCACACGTGAAAATTGCACCCTCCATACCTATGTATCATTTACACTGACAGCACTTATATTTGCTTTCATGTCCTTTTTTGTAGGGAAGACATCATTTTCATTTTCCTATTGTCCTAGTAGGTCTTTGTGACATTGCACCTGCCTGTTCACTTGTCTGTTCACCAGTCTTTTCTAGAATTATTTTGCCTTATTCCTTGGGCAGAACATTTTGTTTTTCCTCTGTTATATTTGATCTTTTACCAGTTCCAGTCCTAATCCTTTAGGAAAATTTCTCCATGATATTTTATACTTGTTGTTTTCTTTGTAAGCAATCAAACTATTTATGCCGGACATGCTTAGAATGAGTAAAACCCAATTATTGGCCAATGCTTTGTATTTTAGTGACATCATAGTTGCTGTGTAATTCAACAACAGCTACTCTGCCTTTAGTTTTGCTGTCAAGAGTTACCATCTCTGGCTTTACTTGTGTTGAGGTTGTCTGTCTGTCCTGCCATCATAGTGTGATGCTGACAGCAGCAGTACCACCTTGTTTTTCTTTGCCATCTATGAGGCCAATGTTGTGTCTCTCTGAAATCTGAAGATTGTACCATACAATTCTCTATTCTGAACTTGGAACATATTTTGGAGAATTTCTGGATTGTTCTTGTGTATAGTCCTGATACCGGTCAACTGGTGCTTTTTCAGTAAATGTACCATTAGTTGGAAACTGGCAAACCAACTGTTGAATGTCATATTTCAATTAGTTTGGGACAGCATTAAGTCTGTCCACAACATCATTAATTTTATTACTGCAGGAATAAGCACCTGGTGGCTGAGTTTCAGGATAGATTTCCAGACTGAAAGTATAGTATGTCTTTATATCTACCAGCACACGTATTTTTATATGTATTTTGAAAGCTTATTTGGCAAATATGGCCAAAAACTACAGCGACTAAGAAATGCTGCAAATTCTTTATCAATAGTCATATATTTGGATGGTGTGTAAATTGCATGGCACTTGATACAAATGTTTCAAACAATGAGCCATAGCAGCCCAATCATCAGTTCTTCCCTCCCCCCTGCCTTGGGAGGTGGTTTGGAATCAAACCAGGCAATTGTGAAGGAAATCATACTTCCCAGTATTATTCTACAAATCTCATGCCTTTTGCAACTTGTTTAGGGTCTCTGTAGTCAGAAGGAAAATCAGTGATGTGAATGAGAAAAAGATAGACAACAGACAAGAGCTGGGGTCTGGTGGAGGTCCTTTCTCTCTCCTGAGTAGAGGAGGAGAACTGCCCAAGAATGGTAGTGTTTATTTATTTCTACCTTTGAGACTTGGATGTCAATCACAACCTCTCCACCCAACAATCAGCTCACAAGCTGAAACACCTTGATTACCTGACTTGAGGAGCTGCTAGTGTTCTCAGGCCCGCTCTGACTTGCATGTGTGGTCAATTCCCAGCTTCAGCCACTCCCAACATCTCTATTCTGTTTGGTACATGATGGGTGTTTAGTTAAACTTGGAGACATTGTGTTTGGAGAAGACAGTTCAATCATCCATCACAGGGGTCAGTTACCAGTCTAGCTGGCAATTGTCAGAAATTGTTGGTGATCCGAACCTTTTGCAACTAACAGATTACTATGATGTTGCTTTTTTTTTTTTTTTTTTTTTCCTTTTTGAGACAGGGTCTAGCTATGCAGGTCAGGCTGGCCTTTGAGCTCACTGTGCAGCCCAAGCTGGTCTTGAATTCAAAACAATCCTCCTGCCTCAGCCTCCCAAGAGCTAGGATTATAAGCCTGCACCACCACACCCAGATGATGTGGCTTTTTATACATCTTGTAGTTACACTTTCCTGCTGGATGCTTAAGATCAAGTTAAGGTGAAACCTGTATTAATTGATTTTTACCATCTATCAAGTCAGTTCAGTCTCAGGATTTACCTTGGAACAAATTATAGCATGTCTTAGATCATCTATCAGTGGCAGCCATATGATGAGTCATGGCCATTGCTTGACCAAGTTGCTTTCTGTGGAAGCTTAAGAGATTTTTTTTCTCTCCTGATAACTTTCCTTAGGCACACTATACATCACTGAATCACTTTCCTCAGTGGTTCCATAATCTCCTTGATCAGAAAATCAGGGACTCAACTGAATTATAGGATACTGCAGTAGAGGTTCTCTTATGTCATGAGTTCTCCTTGACCTTGGAGAGGTAGGGCCAAAATATTGGCTATCCTCACAGTCCATTTATCTCTAATTCTTTGGTCTCCAAATCTCAGTTATTAAACATCCAGAAAAAAAGCTTTACGTTACACTGCAATGGAGGCAGTAAGCTTAACAGTACTATCTTATTTGAATATCAAACACCTTAGAACATAAAATGAAACTGTTATTTTTCTAACGACCTTGGATATCCTAATATTTAAATTCCTAGGGCTGGTGAGATGGCTCAGTGGTCTAAAGCATGTACTTAGAACAAACCTCGCAAAGCACAGGGATCAAGGTTCAATCCCCCAGCACCACATGCCAGCCAGCCCCGCCCCCTGGTAGGCTGAGCTGGCCACACACACACACACACACACACACACAAATAAATAAAATTTTTAAAAATAAATAAAAATAAATTCCTATGGAATTTTTTATCGCATAGAAATACAATGAATGTTTATTTTTTAACTAAAAAATATTCTATTAAAAACAAATTTACCCTTCAAATACCAAACCTTAAATTCCTGTGGAATTTAACAGACAACAGTTATGTATTTTTACATAGAAATTTAGAAATCAAAACCATACACAACATTTCAAAGTGACAATCATAATGATTTTTTGTTTGTTTATTTGTTTTTTGAGACAGGGTTTTGCTACGCAGTTCAGGCTGGCCTTGAGCTCACTTTGTAACCCATGCTGGTCTTGGACTTGGAATGATCCTCCTGCCTCAGCCAGCTGAGTGCTAGGATTACAGGTGTGCATCATGATTATGCATATGATGACATTTTGTGGCATATGTAAATTTTCATTTTGACATATCCATAACCCTTTTAACCAATTATCTCTATCTAATACTTAAGAAGATTTTATCTTGAATATTATCTTTTTCCCCTTTTCTTTTGAGATAGAGTTACTATGCAGCTCAGACTGGCCTTTAGCTCACTTTGTAGCCCAGGCTGGCCTTGAACTTACAACAATCCTTCTTCCTCAGCTTCCCAAGTGCTGGGGTTACAGGGGTGCACCACCACACCTGGCCTTGTTATCTTTCAATGTAACATATATCAGCTAAGTTTTTTGTTAAAGGCAGAGGTCTGAATCCGAAAGAAAAGTCTTATGGTCATAAACAATCCTTGCTTTACAATTTGGAAGACCTGTACATCCAAAATCATAAATACGAAATCAAAATACCAAAAACAAACCAGGTAACTGAAGAGAATCATAAATACATTTAATACACTATGAGATTAGCAATAATGAATTACCGTACATGTGTGGTGGCACACGCCTGCAATCCCAGTACTCAGGAGGCTAAGGCAGGAGGATCGTGGGAGTTCAGGACCAGCCTGGGCTACATAGTGAATTTAAGGCCAGCCTGAACTGCATAGTGAGACCCTGTCTCAAAAATGTTTTTGGAAGGAATAGAATCTTTTATCTGTAAGAATACTGATAAATTTTAGCGAAGTTATCTATACTGCATCACCTTCTCAGATCTTCGATTCCCCTGTTGGCCACCCTCTCCTGAGCATTCTGGTTCAGTTCCTTCAATGGGCTCCAGGTCAGATCCAGCCTCATCATCGTCAACTTCTTCAGATCTAGATTCATGATACAGCCAGACAGCATGATCTAGCAAAACACAAACATATTCTTCACCCCAAATTAGCTTTTCTTTGCTTTACCTGATTGAATTGTCTTTCTGTTGGTGCCCTTCTATCTTTTGTAGGATTTAAAACATTGATAGTATATACTGCCAACTGAAGTCTATTATGAGGTGTGAATTTTGTAGGGAAAAATTCCCCCTTTTTAAAAAAATTTTATTTATTTATTTATGTGTGTGTGTGTGTGTGTGTGTGGCCAGCTCAGCCCACCTGGGGGCGGGGCTGGCTGGCATGTGGTGCTGGGGGATTGAACTGGGGTCCCTGTGCTTTGCTAAGCTTGTTCTAAGTGGGTGCTTTAGACCACTGAGCCATCTCACCAGCCCCTCCCCCCTTTTTTTTGTAATTGAAGTTTGATCATATGGTGAGAAACCTGTATCCTATATTTTGGAAGAAGAAGCTATCCCATAACCTCCTTTCCACTAAGATACTTCATCTGTGAAAATAGCAAATTGAATCAACTTATCTGAAGGATGATGACAACACCACCAGAGAAATTGGCCCAAAAGCTGGGCGGAACCAACTAGTATTACCAAATAGAGTCTGAAGATCATTTAAGGTTGATCCAGACAGTTTGGGGTAATTGTCACACTGGTTCAAAAGCACC